TCACACGGGCCCAGGCGCCAGGGCCCAGAGCCCCAGGTGCCTCCGACCCTTGGGGCCCCGCAGGCCCACACATTCACAGCAGATGTGAACTCCTCGGCTGCCATGCAGCCGGTGACCTCCTTCCTGAGCTTGTCCCAGGTGTCCCGGCCGCAGCTACCTGCCGAGGGTGAGGAGGAGGAGGAAGGGGAGGAGGAGGACAGAGCCCCAGGTGACGAGGTGGCCTCAGAGGACAGCGAGGAGGACGCTGCAGGTCGCGCGCCTGGGCGCTGGCGAGAAGACGCTATCGACTGGCAGCGTACGTTCAGCGTGGGCGCTGTGGACTTCGAGCTGCTGCGTTCAGACTGGAATGACCTGCGCTGCAACGTGTCAGGCAATCTACAGCTGCCAGAAGCCGAGGCCGTGGACGTGGCAGCCCAGTACATGGAACGCCTCAATGCGCGCCATGGCGGGTAGGGATATGCGCAGTGGAATGTGCCGTCTCTGTGGGACTTCGACCTTTTGGGGCCCTCGAGAAACCCCTGGTGCCTCCAGGCTTCTGTGAGCCCCACACAGCACTGCTCCCATAGTCCTGCGCCTCCCAAGCTTTCATCTGCTACCCTTGACCCCTCTAGTTTCCCAGGCCCCAGGATCCAGCTTTTTTACTTTGTTGGGCGTGGGGGCTGATTTGTTAGCTGGGGACTTCTCAGAAGAGGCTGTGGCTATGTTGTGGTCCTCTGAAGGACAGCCACGCAGGCACAGGCTTATTTGGAGCAGGAGGCTTTGGACAGGATATGATACACCCCTCTGGGTCATTTCCAGCATCATTGGAGGGGAAAAGCCTGTCAAATGGCTAGGACTCTTCAATCACAGGGGTGTGGGGAGGAGCTTCAGCCCTGGTGGCTCCAGGGCAAGCCTGCTCTCACCTCCAAGCTTCTGTCCCATGGCCAGCAGGGGCTGTCCAGCTGGATAGTGAGTGGTAGCTGCAGCCCCACCTGTGTGCTGACTGTGGCTGTTCCTAAAGAACAACCAGGTCATTCAGGGCAGAAGGTCCATGACATGGACAGAGCATGGCGGGGGTGCACAGAGTCTGAGGAGGGGAGTCTAGATCCCTAGAGGTCACGCCAGTGGGCTCCCAGGGCAAACGGTACCAGCCACCAAAGGAGATCCGGGTGCAGGACAGACAGTCCAAGGCCCCGAGAGGAACCCTGCTCAGGCGGAGGTGGAGAGTGGCTGGAGAAGGAGCCCAGGTGCTACCAAGCCTCCTACACCCAGGACTCCAGGGGGACAGGGGTAGTCTGGTAGGAGGGGACCCTGAGACTTGAGAAGGGGCTGGGGGACTGGGGTAAGAAGTGGGCAGGGCCCTCCAGGACACAGAAAAGTGGACAGCAGTGAGCACCCGCTGAGAAAAGATAGTCCTCAGGTCGCCTGCTGGACTGGGCAGCTGCGCTTCCGCTCTCGCTGGGGAGGAGAGGCTTGTTGCAGGGGTGGACCTTCCAGGAAGCCAGGCAGAAGAGTGGTGCTGCCTCAGCCCGGTGGAGCCTTGGGAGTCATGACCTCAAACCCGTCCCAGTGAGGGTGCTCGAGAAAAGCAGGCTGGGGCCTGCATTTTGGCCAGCTTGACCACCTCACTCTACCCGCAGGCGCTTCTCCCTTCTGCGCATAGTGAACGTTGAGAAGCGCCGGGACTCGGCGCGCGGCAGCCGCTTCTTGTTGGAGCTAGAGCTGGAGGAGCGCGGTGGCGGCCGCCTGCGCCTCTCCGAGTTCGTTTTCCTGCGGGTGCCGGGTGCGCACTCCCGGGATGAGGAGGGAGAAAGCCCTGAGCCACCACCCGCTGCTGCTTCCCTGCGCCCTGACAGCCGCCCCGAGCTCTGCCGACCTCTGCGCCTCGCCTGGCGCCAGGACGTCGTCGTGCACTTCATCGTACCAGGTGCAAGGGCGGGAGAGCGGGCGGCGGGGCCGGTGGGGGCCGAGGTCTTGGCGCCGACCCCGCGCCTCCTGCAGTTAAGAACCAGGCACGCTGGGTGGTGCAGTTTCTGGCGGACATGGCCTCACTGCATGCGCACACCGGGGACCCGCACTTCAGCGTCATTCTGGTGGACTTCGAGAGCGACGACATGGACGTAGAGCGTGCCCTGCGCCGGGCGCGGCTGCCCGGGTAAGAGCCTGCAAGGACTGCGGGGCCTCCCGACCCCGCCTCCAGGACCACGCCGGTGACCCCTCGTCCTCCCCAGGTATCAGTACCTGAGACGAACTGGAAACTTCGAGCGCTCTGCCGGGCTGCAAGCAGGAGTGGATGCCGTGGAGGTCTGAGGGCCAGGGATGCTTGGGGAGCGTGAAGGGGTGCCAAGGAGGGGCTTTCAGACAAAATGGGCTCAGATCTTTGGCCCTCCAGGACCCCAGCAGCATCGTCTTCCTCTGCGACCTGCACATCCACTTCCCACCCAGCATCCTGGACAGCATCCGCAAGCACTGCGTGGAGGGCACGCTGGCCTTTGCACCCGTGGTCATGCGCCTGGGCTGTGGGAGTTCCCCTCGCAACCCGCGTGGTAACCAAGCGCTCCCTCAGTGCGTGGCGGGGAGGGGCAGAGACCCCTCCAGGCAGGATTCCAGAGCCCCTCGGGTCACGCTAGACACCCCCTCCCCAGAACCCGGCCCTGACCCAGCCCCCGGCTTCCCGAGGGTCTCCTTCCTCTTCTACTCTAAGGTGGGGCATGGGACCGGCTTGCAGGAACTGTGGCTGAAAGCCTCTCCACCCCCAGGTTACTGGGAAGTGAACGGCTTTGGTCTCTTTGGGATCTATAAATCCGACTTCGACCGCGTGGGAGGCATGAACACGGAGGAGTTCCGAGACCAGTGGGGGGGCGAGGACTGGGAGCTCCTGGACAGGTGACAGTCCCTTCCCCAGGCTGAGGAGACACTCTGTGCTCCTGGAATGGGAGGGTAGGATGGCAGGGCCGCTTGCTAAGAGCCCTGCCCACCTCCACCTTTCCAGGGACCCCCCACACCCATCCCTCTCCCAGAAGCCCTCCCCCAGGTCCTATTGCCCCTGGAGGATACACTGACACCCTCCACCTGCCCCCAGGGTCCTGCAGGCAGGACTGGAGGTGGAGCGACTCCGACTTCGGAACTTCTACCACTACTACCACTCCAAGCGGGGCATGTGGGGCACACGCAGCCACAAGGGCACCCGCAAGGAGCCATCGTGAGGATGGGCACCCATGCCAACCTAGTCCAGGAGCACAGTCACCACCCGTGCCTCCCCCTCATCCCGCCACACCCTGTGGCCTCCCCAGAGGCAGCCTTTCCAGCTGGTCCTTCAGGCTGCCTCTGTCCTCACACTCCAAGATGATTTCTGTGAAATTTTCATTAGCAATGACATTGTTTTCAGGATTTCCGAGTTCTTTCTGTTCCGTTTTTTATTCAGAATGAAATGAAATATTTTTTTTTTAGTTCTGACCTGTTCTCTGAGCCTTCTTCTCCGGGTGGCCCCAGACACTGCCCACTCCCTCGTCCCCCACCTCACCCCACCAGCCATCCCTCCTGCTGGCAGCTTCCACTTTGGACTACAGCAGCAATTTCATCTCGCCCACAAAGTGCTGAAAACAGTAGCACTGGGCCTTCTCCCATGGGCACTGCCTTGGTTCTCCTCCTTCATCCTCTGAGGTGGGGCAGCGTCATTAGGAACAAAGCACCCAGCTCCAGCTAGGGTGACCCCAGCTCTGGGGGCAAAGATGACCTCGGGCTAGTTTAGACCAGCATGGGGGTTCTCGTGGTGGGAGGACCTGGGGGCAAATCAACCCAGAGGCTGGGCAGTGCCCAGGACACCCCACCCAACCCTGCTCGCACCACCCTGCTCCTTCCCCCTTAGAGTTGCAGCCTCATCTTCACTGGTTCAGCTCCTAGAGGGAGTCTGTGTAAGCTCCTGAGGGCTGGGTAACAAAGACCTCGAGCAGAGCATCCAAGAACTGCACAGATTCACCTGGGGTTCTAGAGGTAAGCAGGTCTGATTCACAGCTCAGCAGCACTGCCTTCTTTGGGCCACAGCAGGTCTGATGGGTTAATACCTCTCCTCTGAAGCCAGAAGTGTGGCACCTGGGGGTAGGGTGATCTGTCTCTGTCTCTTTCCATCTCTATACCCCTCTGTCTCTGTTGGTTTCTGCTTATCTCTGTCTCTCCTTGTCTGTACATCTGTCTCAGTCTCTCTTTGTCTGTCTCTGTATCTGTTGGTCTCTATGTCTGTCTCTTCTTTTTTTATCCTCACATCCCCTTCAGAGGCTCTGACCGACCCGCCCGCTGCTATGAGGACCCCAGTGATTCCACTGCCCACCTAGTAACCCAAGATGAATTCTATCTCAACACCCCCTGCTTGGTCACAAAGTCCCTTTTGCCAACCACAGCAGCAGTTACGGCTTGGGGGTCAAAATGTAGATATCCTCGGGGTCAGTGGGAAGCAGCACTGTGCCCAGTGCCCAGCCATCCCTGGAGATGGACCCAGATGTCATCCTTGGCTCATAGCTCACTGGGACACAGGGCAGAGGAAAAGTAAAGCTGGGAGAGGACACAATAGATACTCCCATCTGGCCTCAAAAGGACCCAGTAGAGGGAACAGGGAAGGGGCATCTGGCGGCTGCCTAGTTGGCAGGTGTGAACAAACACCAAGTCTCCATGACATGTGCTTGCGAGTCCACAGGCAGGAAGGACCCACGTGGCAGGCACCAATCACCACTACAGACCACCCAGAGCCCCACATGCCCATGCTGCCCCTTGCCTGAGTGCCCAGTTCTCAACTGTCCCCACTCACAGGTGTCTCACAAGAAGTAACACCGGACTTCAGAGTATGAACTACGAAGGAAAAGATAAAGAAAGGAGAAAAGAAATGTAAGCAACACACTCACGCTTGTATAGCACACACTTGTCAGAATCTCCTCAGAGCAGGACGTTCAAATTCCTAGATGGTATCGACAAGTGTGACCTATCCCTTTCAGTGACCTCTCCTTGGGTGCTCACCACATGCTGGGAGGACAGATGCCCCTGCAGACAGGCAGCAAATGTAATGTTAGGTGTCAGCTGGTGGAAACCGCTGCAGAGGAAAAAAATAATTACTGATAAAGCCAGAAAAGAGTGACGAGTTCGGGGAGGCTGTGCTTGTGCAGAGTGGTGAGAAGAGCAAGCCTGAGATAGCTGCTCCCCAGCTACTCCCAGAACAAGAGCAATGGGTCAGAGCTGGCACTGGGGAAAATGGGACAACAGCCAGGGATTTAGCTCAGTGGTGCCACCACCTGTCTTGCAAGCGCAAGGTCCCGAGTTTGATCCTCTGTACCAAAATAATAATGATGATAATAATAGAAAATGGGACAACACTAAAACCTTTATAACAGCCACTTTAGCAACTTCAAAAGACTGTTGGAAACCCAGTCAGAAACACAGAAGACAAATTTGAGGAAAAGCACACAGGGTGAGATGGAAAAGAACCCAGAGTGACCCGTGACAAAGCACCAATAAAGCCGAGAGCCAGGCATGGTGGTGCACACTTGTAATCCCAGAACTTGGGAGGCCAAAGCAGGAGGAGCACCACAAGTTTGAGGCCAGTTCAAGGCCAAGCCTGAACTGCATAGCAAGACCACAGAAAGATGAAGAGAAGGGATGAATGGACTGATTGATAGATGACAGACAGATAAATAATATAACAAAATAAAATTCTGAAGCAAATACCAGCCAGAATGGTGAAAAATGTCTGCCAAGAAGTGAGAGGGGTGGTCGGTGGCCCTGCTTCCTGGGTGGGGTGGGGGAGCCTGGGCCAGCTGTGGAACTCAACAAAACATCTGCCAAATAGGGCCAGGGATTTAGCTCAGTGGTTCCGCCACCTGCCTTGCAAGTGCAAGGGCCCAAGTTCGATCCCCGCTACAAAAAAAAAAAAAAAAAAAAAAAAAC